AATCACTCTGGATCCATCACATCCAAGCCATCTCCTTTTTGAACTTTTGCCATCTGGTCGGCGTTTCAGAGCACCGAATACCAGGACAGCCAGGCACAAGAACAGTTTCTTTCCCCAGGCAATCTACCTCATGAACAGTTAATGTTCTCCCATTGTGCAATTAAAGTATGTGCAATAACCTTATACTTATTTATCACCCTAAATCCTAGTACATCCCTATAACTTTATTTTATTTTATTCTATTCCTATTCTATCTATAGCACACCTGTACATACAATTTATTATGCATGTTTATTTTATTCACATCTTATTTTTATTATCTGTGTGTTGTTGTTGTCTCCGTGTACTGGAAGCTTGTGACACTATAACAAATTCCTTGTATGTGCAAACATACTTGGCAATAAAGCTCTTTCTGATTCTGATTCTGATTCTGAGAAGAATTGTTCATTGTTAGATCGTTAATTTCAACATTTATAAATACATTTTTAAATTACAAAGTTGTATTTGTTAGCATTAGTTAATGCATTATGAACTAACATGAATGATCAAGGTAAAATATAATACTTTAATATTTAATGTTAATATTTATATATTTATTTCATTTAAAAAGTGCAGTACATTTTCATGGGTCAGCACATTTTTTCCCTTTCATTTGTAAAAGTTTAGCTATTTTACTTGGAGTGTTATGTTTGTTGTCATTCAGTATCCATTTTAAAAACTATCAGTTGATTAATCGGTTATCGGCCAGCTAGTTATTGTTATCGGTAAAATCCTCTATTGTTCAACCTCTAGTTGCCACAGTCACATTGCACAGTGCACTATTTAGCATCAGACACTGGATATTTTGTTTAGAAACTGACATGAAATGTGCTACAAGCAATACAATATAATGTTGCAACCATTTTGAATCCACAGGAATGTTTGGTTTTCATGAAACTGGGTGGTTAAATAAACACGCATCTGCAATGGGGAAACATGATATAGCTTATAGCACCTCTTGCGGACATATCATTGAAAAAAAGTGAAGCGAAATGTACCCTAAGCAATGTATTTCAAGTTTTGCAGAATTGTAGGCAGAATTGCATATTTCTAATAAGCCTAGGTTGCAAGCTACTTAGCAAAAATTGCTACAACAGTTCTAAAAATTGATTTTGAAATGCAAAAAAATTACACAGCAATAAAAATTCTGCTTTGCCACACACACACGCACACACACACACACACACACACACACACACGCACCAACCCTACACCTAAACCTACCCCATACAGGACACTTTCTGCATTTTTACAATTTAAAAAAAACTTTGTTTACTTTATTTTTATACTAGTTTTACAAATGAGGACGTCCCCAAAGGGAGGTTTTTGGAGATTTTGTCAGGTTTAGCTCACTTTTGGGTACAAATTTGTCCCCAAAATATGGTTAAGTAGGTACACACACA